GCACTGGTCTTCAATGTCAACCAAGTATACTTTGTGGCTGTCCTTCATACCCATGAACCCCCACAAACTTGCATAATTTCCTGTTACACCACAGAGCTTCTGTATGGCTTCTGGTACTCCTTTGTGATCTAGCACCTTGATATTCACAAGGGTTTGCTGAGATGTAGAATTTATGACAAAGTTGCACTTTTGGCCATCCAGCTTTCCTGTCACGTAAACACTATGTGTGCTTACCATTTTACACTTAGCTGTTGGGACTTTCACAATTGGTGTTGGTGGGCATCCCTGAACACTAACCACTACTGGTTTCCCGAAGCTGACTTATTTGTAGTATTCTTCTTACACTGGCTCCTCATATGTCCTTGCTCTCCACAGTTCCAACAACCTTTCTGGGTAGCAGCCTTTCCTGTCGTGGCATCTTTCCTGTGTTGAAGTTGCTGGCATTGAGCTCTTTTGTACCCAGGTTTGTAACAGTACCAACAAAGTCCCTCAAAATTCTCAAAAAGCTGTCCTTTTCAGGCCTTGAATCCTGGTGACTGTACCAACCTTGGTACCTTTGTGCTGGACTTAACATAGAGGGTTGTGCTTGCTTTACTTGTATCTTCAGTTGTGGACTGTCCAATGCATCTATAAGCTGATCCTTCTGCAACAGCTTGAGGACATCGGGTGGTGCAGTTGGGTTGGCCTTGTGTGCCATACATTCCAAATCCTGTGCCAGCTCTTGCAGGCTCTCCCTTTTAGCACGGACTCTTGCCTAAACCTAGCCCTGTAGACTTTGGACTGATTTTGAGTTCCATATCTGAGTTCTAGAGCCACTACCAGTGCTCTATAGTTGTGCCTGTTGTCTGCTGACAACTGTCCAAGTATTTCCAGTGATTGTCACTTCAGGCTCGTTGCCAAGTACACTGCATTCTACTCCTCTGTCCATCCATTGATTTCTGCCAGTAGCTCAAATTGTGCTCTATATGCTTCCCATGGTGCCTTTGCATCTAATTCCTGTGACTTTCTTTGTACTAAATCACCCCTATTGCTGAGACTCATGTCTGGAATGTGACTTCTGGCAGGACTGAAGATGTCTGCATTAGGGTTTAGCTGCTGGGTCTGGAAGGAGCTTCCTGTTGTCTGGGGCTGATTAGGCCCATGGCTAATATATCCTCTCTGTGTAAATGGCAGTAAATCGTCATTTAATGTATTTAATTCACTTTGAAATTTACTAATCTTTTTCATTCGTGTATGCTGGCTTTCTCTCAACTGTTGGAGACTTTCTTCTTGTTTATTTTCTTTCTTCTCCAACAACTGTTGTAATCTCTCTTCTTGTTTATTTTCTCGTTCTTCTCGTTTCTTTTGCTGTTCTTGTATTGCTGCCATCAAATCTGCTAAGTCATAGTTTGATTTACCACTTCTGGTTTCCATCTTTTTTTTTTTATCGTCTCACTCTCTGACACCAATTTGTTGAGTGTCTGCTTGTTTGTTAATTTCCCGTAGAAATTCTTTCCAAGAACTTTCAGTGATACAAGTCCATTCTTAACAACTTTTATAACACACGCTATAAATCACGGTGTTTCACACGCTTTACTTATGGTGCCTACTGTTTGCTTGACTCAATTATCTATCTATGCCTCTGGCTTTCTTTGCCAGGCTTATATATTAAAAAAAAGAGGGCATTGACTAAAGTTGATGGACAAATTCATGATCCTTCGAGAAACTCTAGTGCGCATGCTCCCAGCATCACGTGACTTCTGCTGTCATAACAATATTGAAACATCACATTTGAAACTGAGCATTGTTATAATTAGACTGCTATTATGCATACCCTGATTTTATATTTTTCATGCACACTAAGTCACAAGCATGATTTTGTCAACAACCATTGATGCTGTTTCTTTGTTATATGTTAGTAATTACTATATTAAAATTTTCAATGTCATTAATATTGTTCACTTGTTTATTGTGCAGCAAAAGGTCTTATCTATAAACTTGTGGAGTGGTATGATAGAACTAAAAAGGCACATTTTAATTTGGTGGATATTTTTGAAGCCACATCTCCAGAATCTGTACAAGCTATGGAGATATCTAGCAAGGTGAGTATGTGACTAGCTACTTCAGTTTTAAAATTCATTTGTAAACTAGTCTGGACAAGTTATTTATTGTACTGATAAACCTCAACCAAACTTAGAAATGATAATCCTGTCTTCTACAGAGTAATAAACAAGTATTGATAAACTTGAAGCCTAGAGATGATAAACGTCTCTTCTAAAGAGTTATAAACCTGCACTGGTAAACCTCAACCAAGCCTAGAGATGATAAACTTGACCTCTAAATAGTACTAAACTTGTACTGATAAACCTCAACCAAACCTAGAAATGATAAACCTGTCTTCTACAGAGTAATAAACAAGTACTGCTGGACCTCAACCAAACCTAGAAATGATAAACCTGTCTTCTACAGTGTAATAAACAAGTACTGCTGGACCTCAACCAAGCCTAGAGATGATAAACTTATCTTCTAAAGAGTTATAAACTTATACTGCTAGACCTCAACCAAGCCTATGGATGAAAAACCCGTCTTTCACAAATTAATAAATCACTTTTTCTATGCTATAAATTGATACTTAGTATTCTACTAAATGTGAAGTCAGCATGTAAACTGCCCTGGATTACTTTAGATAATTCCTATACCAAGGCTAAAACTGCAGTTTTGAGCTGTATCAGCTCCCAGAAAATGTAATATGTATTTAAATGAGAGAGACAACTGGGTGTATATTGTAACAACTATTGTACCCTTTCATAGTGTAAGACTGTTTTAGGCTTTCTAGCATACCGTGGTGGTATAGATGTTGCATATATGTATATATGCAAGCATTTCAATTTATTCTTTGCTGTCGCAGATAAATATTGTAACTAATTGCAGTGAGTGGTGATTTTCACTGCATATCCTGATAAATTAATTGTTATAATATCTACCATATTGATATTTAACAAAATTATATCTATACTAATTAAGGTTTTTGAAACTTAAAAAATGTTTTGAATAAATTTTAGTGTGATACTGAGTAATATGATTTTCAAGGCTAATAAGTCTTAGAAGGACTAATATCAGGCTCACTTGGAACTACTGTTTGAATTCCTTGTTGATAAATATGAGTATATGTATCTCTTCTAGCACAACTCCCTTTATGTAGCATCAGACAGCTTTATTCGTCAGTTTGCTTTGGTAATGTGCAAGGGTCACTATGGTAACTGTTTACAGTGTACACAAGACCCATACTGTGGCTGGGACAAAGAACGTGGTGAATGTCGTCCGTACGTGAGAGGGTCAGTATGTTATTGAGCTATATTATTTATTTGTCCAAAGGGTATGGTAAATTTTTCAATTTTGAAGTATTCTTATGTCATTACATATTTTTTGGGTTATCTTTTTTATCATATTTTATGGAAAGATTACCACTGTAAGATAAGTTTTGTTCAAAACAAATTTAATAATGAACAAACAAATCAAAAGAAATATTGACATTTTTTTGTAGAGACTTGATACTTTAATGCAGGGGTTCCCAAACTTTGCCAACCAGCAGACCCCTTCAACTTCTTATTATATTTGCAGACCACCTCCCATTAAAAATAGTTTTTATATTGTGTAAATGGTATATTATATGCGTATCTTACTACCTTTAATTTGAGATTTATATTGTTGCGTCAGCGAGATCACGTGACTATTGTCACGCCACCTGCTTTCTAGAAGTATCTTGTTCCTTCGTGAATGCCCTAGCATTTACTAGATATATGTTTGTCTGGTATATAAATGAGACGCTCACAACGTGACAAATCAATGTGTGTAGGTAGTGAGTAATTGATCTGCAGTGAG